CTTAGGAAGGCCATGTAATAAGGAATTACAGTGATCAAGTTTCGAACTAATAAATGCATGGACTAAGATTTTACATGTATCTTGGCTTAAGTACTTGCGGATTTTAGCAATATTTCTCAAATGATAGAATGATGATTTACAAATGTTCTTAATGTGCTCCTCAAAACTAAATATGCTATCAAACTGAACCCCTGAATTACGAACAGAGTCACGAGGTGCAATGCACTCAGAACCAACAGTAATGTGACCGATGTCAGGCATAGGATGGAATCTGGAACTGATGACTACAAGGTCCGTTTTGTCCTGGTTTAGTTTAAGATAGTTTCTTATCATCCATTCATCAATGTCCCTCACACAGCATTCCACTCTCAACTTCACTTTTTGGATGTCATTCAAGCTGATAGATTTAAAGGTAATATATAATTGGGTGTCGTCAGAATATAGATAGTATGATAGTCCATGATCATTTATTATGTCCGCAATAGGTGATGTGTATAGCAAATACAACAAAGGGCCCAGAACTGATCCCTGAGGGACACCCCACTTCAATGCACGTTGTGAAGAATGACTATTCCCAACTTTAACAAACAGCTTACGTGAAGACAGGTATGATTTCAGCCACTTAAGCACAGTTCCTTGAAAACCAAAACAAGTAGACAGCCTTGTCACTAGAAGAGTATGGTCCACCGTATCAAACGCCGCCGACAGATCCAAAAGTACCAGTATGACCGACTCATTACGATCTAAAGCACAAAGAATGTCATTTTGAACCCTCAGTAGAGCCGTTTCAGTGGAGTGAAATGACTTGTATGAGGATTTCTAATATATATTAGCCTGTAAACAGAAGTTGTTTTATTTTATTTTCATTCTTTTCAAAAACATCTGAGTGCGCGAGAATGAGCGCGCGAGAACGAGCTCGGAGCACGAGAAAGAAAACTAAAGAACGTACTTCTTCCCCCACCACTACCCCCTTGCGCTGGAGGTCACCAGGAGCAGATTGGCTCCTGCGGTCAATAAATCCCCTACGGTTTATATTTTATCACCCGCGCTCGATCTGGACTTTGAAGAGAAATTAGAGGGTCTGTGAACATACTACTGTATATAAAGCACGTATGGGTTTCAGTTGTACCAATTTTATTTAAACCATCGAGCAGCTTTTCCGTACATTGACGTGTGCTCAATTTGCCGTTGTAATTTTTAATATGCTAAAGTGTAAAAACGAACAGCTGCTGTAAAGGTCGGCTGCTGATATTCGATCCAGCCTAGGGAAAAACTCAGAAAAACCTCAGAGGGGGTAGGCATACACCCACCCCCCCCAGCCCCTGTAGTTCGACTTCCAGTAACTCGAACCCTCATAACTTGAACCTCCCGCTAACTCGAAGTAATTTTCATTTCCCTTCAGATCATTCTCTACATAATTTTACCCTCGATAACTCGAACTCCCGATAACTCGAACTTTTTTCTAAGGTTCAAATTATTGGGGGTCAACTGTAGAAAGGCTTGTAATATCACAGGCGTCCCAAGCTCACGCTACGAGTGTGTTAATTCCTGACTAGTTCAATCGATAAAACCAATAATCGACAACAATTTATAAAATCGACAAAAATTAGATAATTGTATCGGAAATCGATAAAAATCGATAAAGGGATACGTTGTGAATAATCGATAGTTATTGATTTTTAACTGTTATTGTTATCGATTTTATTGAACTTATCAAATTTATCGGCGCAATACGTTTCCACGTATCTAAGAGCAGCGAAACATCAGAATCTCCCGAAAACCAGTCTAACAAAAATTACTCTCGTAGGATAAGTTTAAAGATTTATTTCACAAATCAAATGTTGAACAAATACGTAACATGATCGGTATTATACTTAACATGATTCAGCGGAGAAACAAAACGTAACAACTTCTTCTTGCATTTTACTTAGAAACTATTCAAGTTAAACACCGTTAAGACATTGTACGACGGTAGTACAATGAACGTAAAATTCCGGGTTATGAGAAAGCGAGAAGGTCTTAAGAAGCCCAGGTAAAACAGATGTAAGCCCCTTATTAAACGCATCGGCAAAAAATGAAAACGATAAAATCGATAAATTCAATACCGTAAAAGAGCAGCGATGGTTGTGAGTATCGATTTCTATCGATTGATCGATTACGTTTAAATTTGAACTATCGATAGTTATTGATTTATCGAACGGTTTTCCGATATCGGTTTTTATCGATTGAACTAGTCAGGTTAATTTGACCTCAGACCAACGCCGTGCCCGGCACTTCAATGCGATACCACAGATTCTAGAGAAAGAAGGTACTTCTTCAAAAGGGACATAAACAAAGATATTAAAAAACTAGTGTGTAGAACAACTTTTAAAAAGGATAACAGGATTGAACCCATTGATAGAAGCAAAAGAGAATGAGCTATATCATTCTCTCTTGATAGAAGCAATTCATGTAGTAATATATGATAATAGATTTTACTGAATTAACCTTCAGACGTATTAGCGTACACGTGTTACGCAGTCATCCCGCAACATGGTACAAGTGGTGGTGGTGGTGGTGGGGTCGGGGAGGGGGTTGATGAAACCCCTCTCAGAAGTTTTTGACATGTTGCAGTTTTTCGAAAAGATTTTACCTTTAGCGGAAAGCCTTTGATCTTCTCGACAAGATCATTGAGGCATATTTTAGAAAATCCTTAAATAAGAATGACCAAGACCGGGTTTTATGAGCCCACTGAGAGAGCACCCCACCCAAACCCTTGTTTTCACTAAAACCGCTGGACGCCACAACCTGGTTGAGGTCATTGTTATCTAAGGTCTTCTTATATTCTATAGGGATTGGTGCTGCTAGAGGCCTGTGACGTCACCAAACATATTCGCCATCTTGGCTGCCATTTTTGATTTTACCAAGAATTAGAAATCAGGTAAAAAACGGCTAACATGTCAAATACACATAAATAAGTACTTTGCTTCATTTTATCCGCAAGTTTAACTTTTATCGTTAGAAGAAGTTAAAAAACACACATTTTCATTCAAAAATGGCTTGACCACCTGCTACTTATGACGTCATATTTCGTAACCATTGTAACTGATCATCACTAAGCTTATCTCAAAATGCACGCGAGGGATAAACGAACAGCTGCTGTAAACGTCGGGTGCTTATGTTTGATCTTTTAGAAAAAAAAAACTCAGAAAAACCTCAGAGGGAGGACGCATACACCCCGCCCCCTGTAGGTCCGAGGGTTGATATAAAGGTTTTGTAGAATGCGGGCGTCATAATTTCACTTGGGCTAGTTTATCCTAAGACGGAGATCTAGATTTGTTATTCTTCTTACCCCAGTTGGTCAAAACGTGGATAAGGCTATCCATCGGACAATTCTTTATCCACTGGATAGCGCAATTGGTTTCTTAATACCTATCCACTGTATAGTGATTTATCTGACCCCAGTTGTTCAAAAGATGCGGATAATATAACGATATCCAGTGGATAAATCTCTATCCAGGGGATAGTGCAATTGGTTTTCCTATTACTTATCCGCTGGTGATTTATCCGATGGATAGCGGTATCCAACGTTTGAACAACTGGGCCCTGGTAGATAGCGCCACGCATGGCCATCTTTTGAACAACCGGAACATGTTTAGAAGCAGCACGAATTTCATTTTCCATAATTACGAAGTCCAATGGACAAACTTTTCGTTTTCGTTTGTTTGTTTGTTTTGTTTTTTGTTTTGTTTTTTTTTTTTTTTTTGTTTTTTTTTTTTTTCGATCTTCAAGTCTCCCGGCATTAGTCATCAAAATTAACAGTAGTTGAATCATGACAAAATGTTACGTTTGATAACAGGTCCGAACTTCAAGTCTCCACGACACGTTCATTTAAAAGTAAAGTAGAACGAGCTGAAAACGACCCAGCTAATTGTTCTAAGTGCTTTTTTGTGTTTTGTCACTTAGAATGGCCACAATTGCCCCTAAATTCCATTTAATGACGACACCAGCCGAAAGGGAAGGGAATTTCCACGCTTTGAAAACGTTACAGTCAAAAGACACATCAAACAACGTTTAATTTATTGTTTTCGACTGGCCAATACATTTCATCAGGTTTATTGAAAAAAATATATATTGTTCATACACGGTTTTTGCAGTGGTTTTTTTTACCTTAACTAAACACACAGTTTATTTATTGTTGACATTGAAAAAATTAGGTTTTAATGGCTCAATTAATACCGGTTATTAGATTTCACAACAGGTGAATAAAGAAAAAATAAAAATAATACAGAGCGGCATATTTGCATTTTATAACAGGATCCTTAAGTCTCCAGAAAATTGTTTTTCGTTGAGTTAAGCGCGAGTTTCTTTTAAACTGAAAGGGATGTCAGTACAAGCTGATGGAACACGAGGAAGGGCCGCGCAAAACATATAACAAGTCTTTTATACAGCACTAGACACGTTCGATCTCCTGATTGGCCAGGGAACCACCGCCTGCACACTGCCGATAAGAAACGGGAAATGCTCGAAATAAAATGACATCATGATTCCATCTTCTCATCATAATGTTTGTTTTTCGTTGAGTTAAGCGTGAGTTTCTTTTAAAATGACCCCTCTAATTGGTCTAAATACTGCTGTCCTACAGTCATCTTAGCAATGATTGTCAGGTCATAAATTGACGTACATACGGTATATTATGTTCTAAAGATAAGGCGCAAACCTTACCAGAAGTTTGTAAAATATCCTACCTTTGTTTTTTCCTTATGCTTACCTTTCTTTCCTAGGGCCTTTCTTAACAATCAAGGTCCTTAGCGTGAACTTAAAGCTTCCAATTAGAGTTATGTTCAACGATCACAACATGGTAACTTGAATTTGAATTTTTGGATGAAGAATCGCCGTTAACAGATTTGTTGATCGCAGTTACTATTAGTCGCACCTCCTGCCTTTAACCAGAAATAGCAGAAACTGTGTTTTTTTCCATCAGCTCCAAGCTGAACGTAAGCCGAAGTTGTCCTGTTTCAATGGAAACTTGGTTCACGATTCTTGGCTGGACACTATCCATTGTGGCGGCGGCTGGAAATGGCTCCATTATTTTTCTTGTGTGCAGCAAACGACGGCTCTTCACTAAAACCAACGCTTTTATCATTTCTCTTGCAGTAGCGGATCTCGGTGTAGGGGCTAGCGTTTTCCCCTCAGAGTTTTCCTCCGAAATCGGCAAAACCAGCCACAATTCGTCTTCAAGATGTAAGAACTAACAATCAATGGGGAATACGATGGCTGTTCGGCTACGCATCTGTGACAAGCTTGTGCAGTTTAGTTCTGGATCGTTACGTGGCGATTGTTACGCCTTTAAAGTATCTAAATTTTATGAGCCGAAGTCGTGTTATCAAAATGATTTTTGTTTCCTGGGCAATCCCTGTAGGATTTGTCACAACTTCATTTTTCTCCAGTTAAGTGTAATTTTTTTAACATATTTGCCATGCTTTGGGAGATTTTTTCATGCTGCTTTCTAATACTCAGCTTTTCCTCTATGATACTTGTCGTATATAAACATGATAGATCGTCAGCCGCCTTAGCAAAACAGCTACGGTTCAACCACAGAGGTTTGACAGTCAGTAGTCAGGATAGATCAGCAGTAACAATGATGGCGATTGTAATAGTCGTGTTTCTCGTCTGCTATGGAATATATTTGCGCTGCAGTTTAGTATCACTTCTTTATTATCCCCGTTGTAATGATAAAGTCTAAAATACCCGTGCGTGTTAGTCCTGAATTCTGCCATCAACCCTTGGGTCTATGCATTCTTCAAGAGGGATATAAAGAAGGAGATGATTAAGAAATTGATTTGCAGAAAAACCTGCGGGGAGAAATTGCAGAATCAATAACTTTTATTTTAAAAAAGCAAGATTTTTGTTAATACTTTGCGTTTACAATAACTGTTGTTTAAGTTAAAAAATCACAAAATGTTAAATCCTCCATTAAAAATCCTCATAAGCCCGTGGGAACAATTTTAACAGTTTTGTCTTAAAATAAAAATAATAATAATAATAATAATAATTTTATTACCTATAACCTAAAAAACACGCAAATTTGCACTCTTGATTGCATATTATCGAGTGCGCGTAAAGGAGAAGATGAACTCTAGATTTAACGCCTCCCAGCCAATATAGTATATTTTAAAACTAGAAGTTCTCATTGAAAAGGGAAGTGCTGCCGTTAGTTGCAATGCGAATAGGACAAAGACAACACGTAAATTTAAAACAGTTGAACAAATGAATTTTTAATTAAAGTCAATAACTTAGACTTGTTGGAATTATGAAACACTCAGAGCCAAAGATAAAAAATGAACCGATCACAATGACAAATATGCTTACATTCAGATGACTTGCTAAAGCTTCAATATGATTTTTTAATTTATTTTAATAATTCAATAAATTCTAAAACAACAGCAGTGCTGATAGGCTGTTTCTTCATCGAACAATCGATTGTGTGGCTGGCCTCCCGTCACACACGACGAGAAGAGTTGGGAACAAGAGAGGATAAAGGGGACAGAGAACGCATCCCCCATACAAACCCTATTCCATAGGTAATTCGTCTCAAGTTATTTTTAGAATCGGATAAAGTTACCTCGCGCGCTGCGTGGATGTTTCGTGGAGGTTTCACATGACTAAACGCCGTTGAAAGCATGTCGGGCGAAAGGCAATGAAAGCGTAAAGAGATCGAGAGCATTCCGGAATATTGGCGCGGAATGAGTCGGCGCTCACCTGGGAAAAGGGAATCGCTAGACTCTTTGACAACCCGTGAAATCAGTTTAACTCGAAGTTGTCGTAACCTCAGTGCTTTAATAAAATAAGAAATTTCGCCGGTCTATTGAAATCGGTCGTTTGTACAATAAAGCAAGTAGGACGCCAAGTGTTATTTTTGTTGAATACTAAAAGACTAATAAAAGAATAAATATCAAACCAGAAATTGCTTTCTTCAAACTGCAAATTATAAATGATCCTGAGAGAATACTCAGTGTGTTAAGGATTTCCCTGCTGTACTGTTAGCTCTATACAAGAGAGGAAGGGTAATTGTTTTTTTATTTCCGTTTCGCTGACACAGCTTTAGCAGAAATCTCTCTGTAGTCGTTTTCGTCGACAAAACGAAAAGCAATATCGCTCTCCGCGTCTTCCGCCATTTCGTTCTGCGTCAATTCGTGAAGGACGCGTGGCTCTGAGCGGGGGTCATCCACGCGGAACACATTCGCGCTATGTGATTGGCTGTTGTCTAATCCCCCTTGGGATCTGTGGTCTTAAAAATAACTCGAGACGAATTACCTATGGAATAGGGTGTGTATGGGGGATGCCTTCTCTGTCCCCTTGATCCTCTCTTGGTTGGGAACAAATAACGTAAAGGCCAAAACTTGTTTATTCACAGGTCAGGTAGACGTACAGCACACATACATGCCGTTCAGTGCGTTCACTTATGTAACTTACTATCCTGATTCCCGAGATAACAATCTGTGTGGCAAAAGAATACTCGCTATAACTAATCTAGAATAAAAAAATTAACCAAAAAAATGTTCCGTACAATACTTCTTGAACTGTTCTTACCGTTTAGGCCGTTTAGAAAGACAGTTAACATCCCATGGACTACGATTTCTGCACACACGAGAACAAAGCAAAATGGCGGGTTGCTCCTAAGAGACAAAGCGGCGCGGCAGCTGAGCTCTTGCTTAAACCGCTGACTGCACAGCGCTGCGGTCACAGATTGAACCATTGAATTATCGAACCATTGAACCAAAAATCTCAAGAATATGGTCTGCTGCCGGCTGATGCCCAACAGCAATGAGTCGAAAATTCTTTCTATTGTTATATTTCATTAAAATTTATAAGCTTTAATACCTTCCCTTATCATGATTTTAACAGTTTGATCCCATACTGCCAGGCAACTCAGACAGTGTTTTTGGCAGATAAGACATCGAACAGTAGACATCTTCTATAATAATTATTAAGCGGCCTTTGATGAAAACTAAATTACAGGGACAAATGTGACGTGTTAAGGACTGGGCAGAGAAAGATGTCTGTGGTCTTGACTTAAAGTTAAGCACAAACTCAAGAAACCTTTGTTTGCTCTATACTATTAAAAGTACATCGTAATTAACGTTTGTGAAAACTGATAAGCCTGAGAAAACAGAGATTTGCCACGCCACCACCGGTTTGCCCGCGAATAACGAGCGTAGAAATTCCATGCTGATGACGTATCACAACCCAGATCTGGATAGTGCTTCTGACTGGTTGAAGCAAAATTTCCCTCGCGAAGCGCTATCCAGATCTGGGTAGTGACACGTCCTCAGTATGGAATTGCTGCAGCTGTTCCTCAGACGTCATTAGTGAGCTTACGCAACCGGGCGGGAAAGGAAAAAAAGGACGACAGCAAATTGTGTGACAAGCGTGACAATAATCTTGTTTCAAAAAACCTTCCGCCAAATTTCACATTCCTTTCAACAGATCTTTTTGTAGAAGAGCAAAAAACATCAATGTTAAGTGAATTCCGAAACACGCATGTAATAGCCCTGTCACGTTTGTCATATTAAGCGTTTTGCTGTCCTCTTCTTCCTGCCGTCCTGTTACGTAAAGTTAAAACTTACTATTTTACGGGCAAAAACAGTGGTGGCTAGTTATCGCGAACATCCAAAATAGCGCGTGACTTTGCTATGCATTGTACTTGTCCATCTCAGTTTACGGTTCAGTCAGATGGACTGAATACAAGGCAAGACCTTTGAAAGACGGTCTGCCTCTCCCGTTAGGTTCTCGACTCATTGTTATCCGGGTTACTTCCAAAATTGTCCGTTGTCCTTATTAACTGGCCAAATTAAGAGAAATAGTCTGAAATATTTCTCGGGAAAATGTCCGTACGTTTGGTTAGGTTCTCATTGGTACGACGCTTCTATAGATTACAGTGCATAGATCGACAGGCAGAAAAATTGTCCTATATTAAAAAAATAGTAAATTAAAAAAAAGCCTGACGTGAGCTTTTTGTCAGAACACTTAATATGTAAACGAGTGTCCGCTACAAGTGGAGCAAGCGGCCTCAAAATAAGTTCGCTTCTCTGATGAAAGTCTTAAGTGTTTGATATTTTAAAGGAGGCTGTTTGGTTACGGTCCGACCAAATGGATTTTTGTTTGGCTTGCTGCGAAGCTATTTATAAACTGAATTGTATATTACCAACTATCGAGTCATTTATTTTTTCTTTTACACTCCTCATGTTTTTATAATCAATGTTTTCTGATTTCCCTTTGCCTGTTGCAAATTAATTATCTACTTCGCCTTCGCCAAATACGTTCAAATCTAGCTGGGATCTAACTCTATACAACTCATCAAGTGTAATCATATAACTTTCATAAAGCTTTATCGTTGGCTTTCACGAATAACGGGTTTCAACTAGTTGTCTTACAACACGAATCTCAAGCCAGACTTGCTTATATTTTGAAAAGAAATCACGAGCCCTTCGATCTTTTTTGTTTTTGTTTGTGTTTTTTTTTTGTTTTTCTTTTCTTTTTTTAAACATGAATAATAAATCATTTAATAATTTTTCCGCAGTTATTTTTTTAATGGATGAGTAATTAACTAACTACGAGGCAAAGCCGGTCCTTATCCAGAACTAAACTCGAAACCTCCCGTAGTGTGTGTTGAAAATAGATCGTAAAAGCGCGTCAAGAAAAGAAAAACGTTAACATATTTTGCCCTGATCGTCACAAATAATTCCACTAAAGCTTTCCTACTTCATTAATAAAAAAATATACTCGGGAAAAACTTGCACAGAGACCCAAAATTTCCAATGATAGCATACCTCCTAATATGTCCTCCTTTTAAAAGAAGAGAATATCTTTGAAATAGATATAGTAATTATTATAACATAGCTAGAAAATTCGCCTAATCAAATTCAATAGCGCGAGCGTGCTTCATATTCCTATTGAGCACGCTGATGACGTCAATAAACTATTCGTAATTCCTCGAGTTGTTGGGAGCTTAGCAATCCTGAGTCTCCCGAGTGCATCCATAACTCAGCAATAGACAATGAAGCGTTTACCATGTGTTTTATAAGGAAATTTAAGAGGAAAGGTTTGAATTTGTTAACCGATAGTAAGGAAAAGAGGTGAGTGTTGTTGTTGTTGTTGTCATCTCGGCGAGCTGTGCGGGCTATGGCGTGAGATCATTCTTTGCAAAGTTGTTTTCTCTCAATAACAATTTTTCGGTAAATTAAAAGTTTTCCGGCACCTAAATATGGATTTTGCAATCATTTTAGAGTACACTTTCTCTCAGTTTCAGGATAAAAACATAAGATTAACTGTGAGGAAAAAAAATATAGTCACGTAATCATTAACGCGTACTGCTTAAAATTTTCAGTTAACTGCTGCATTGATCGCTTTGATAATGTTATAAAACAATTAGTTCATGCTGCAGCTGTGCGTATGTCGAGATATTGAGCACTTGGGAAGTTTGGAGAGCACTCAAAAGGCTAGAGTTGCACTCGGCTGCGCCTCGTGCAACTCTTACGCCTCTTTCGTGCTCTCCAAACTTCCCGCGTGCTCAATATCTCGACATACGCACGCTGCCGCATGAACTAATTGTTAAATAAATAGTCTGTTTAGAGAAATTGCTGACTCGCTTGTATTTGAATTTGTATTTAATTTTTACTCCATCCTATAGTTGTTTAGTTGTACAATAATAATTAGTACAAGGTTGTTTAAACTACGTGTACATAAGAAAAAAAAAGAAAAAAATTAGAATGGAGAAGGGCACGTGATAGTAAAACTGTTTATGGCCCTTTACCAAGATTGACTTTTATTATTCTATTATGGCTCACAAACACACACGCATACACACATACACACGCACATAAGTCAATATTAAGCAAGATAATATTTTTTAAGTGCGTTTTTGAACAGGAACTCTTACACGAAAAATTAAATTATTTGAACACACATAAAAGGCAACAAATAACGCTAAACTAGCCAGTTTCAAAAGACGCAGCCATCATCATCGCTGACCGCTGACCGCACTGGACTCACTTTTTGTCAAAGTGTAATTATTGTGTGATATATATGCATAAGTCAGTACAACACTAAATAAAATCGGAGCAGGTGCGTGCAGGTGCTTTCATTTTCTCGTTAGGAGTATTGATCGCAGCCAAGATAAAGTAATCACAGTATGGAAACTCCTGGTTTTGGGTTATTGGCTGGGTTCTTTCCGTTGTGACGATAACTGGAAATGGCTTCACTCAAGAGCCACAATGTCTCTTGCTTCACTATATTGCTTGTTGGCCGCAATCGACCCCTCCGCACCAAAACCAACGCGTTTTTAGCTTCGCTTGCTGTGGCGGATTTTCTTGTTGGAGTGGGCATCGTTCCTTCTTTTTTCTTCTGCGAGATCGCAAGAGGCGCGCGGGTGTAAATGGTCTCGAGCCTGGTCCACCTGGCTCCCTGGTTTAATACGATGGCTATTTGGATACGCGTCGGTATTCAATTTGTGCAGCTTGGTGACAGATCGCTATATAGCTATTGTAAGGCCTTTGAAATACGTAACTTGCGTATAACTGCACGTTGAGTGATTCAAATGATATTCCTTTCTTGGGCGATCCCCTTTGGATTTGTGAATTGTTCCCGCGGAACTCACTCTCGCTGTGGCATTGTATCACTCTTTCTCAGCCTTCCATGTAATGACTTTGAATATAAATTACTTATATTCAGGTTATATTGATCTTAAACTCCGCCATAAACCCTTTGGGCGCACGCTTTCTTCAAAAAAAGATGACAATTAAAGTAGATCCTAATCAGTAATGCCAATCACGTTACAGTGGGTACATGTTGCTCGACTTTGTAAGCAGTCCATTAAGAACAAAATGTCAAGCAGTTGAGGATACTAGTGTCTCTTACTATTTATGTCACATCGTCAAAGCATTGACAAAACGCGCGTATTCAATCCTAAACAAAACAAGGAAGAATGTAGCTGTCACAAATCCAAAGGGGATCGCCCAAGTATGTCATACCTCAAAAAACAGAAAAAAGAAGCAAAATTTAGTTTAATAAATCATTGAGCAGCTTTTCCGTACATTGACGTATGCTCAATGTGCCGTAAGGTTGTAATTTTAATATGCTAAAGTGTAAAAACGAACAGCTGCTGTGAACCTCCGGTGCTGATGTTCGACCTTCTGTGTTCACTGGATAGCGCAATTGGTTTTCCCACAGGTAGCCCAAGCTCGAAATATGAGCATCGGCGAGCATCGGCATTGTCGCGTAACATTCAAAATATAAGGATTTGTATGAGAAAATGAAAGGATTTCAATAAAAAACAGCTTACCTTACTTAAAATGTGTGTTTCGTCTCTCCTGTGTGGCCCACGGGCCGATTTATGGCCGTTTTATGGGTTTTTATGTAAATGGTTTTCTCTCTATATAAAGGTTTACACATTTTAACGGTTTTCTCTCTATATAAAACCGTTTACATAAAAACCCATAAAACGGCCAAAAATCGGCTCGTGAACCACACAGGAGAGACGTAACACACATTTTAGGTAAGGTATTGAAATCCTTTCGTTTTCGTAGGTTACGGAAACGATAGGGTTTTTTTCCCCATACAAATCCTTATATTTTGAATGTTACGCAGCAATGCCGATGCTCGCCGATGCTCATATTTCGAGCTTGGGTTACCTGTGGTTTTCCTAATACTTATCCTCTGGATAGTAATTTATGTGGTGGATAGCGCGATCCATCTTTTGAACGACCAGGGCATGTTTAGCAGGAGCAAGAATTTCATTTTCCATGATTACGAAGTCCAAAGGACGAGCTTTTTGTTTATTTCTCTCTCTGTTTGTTTGTTTGTTTGTTTTTTTTTCGATCTTTAAGTCTCCTGGCATTAGTCATCAGAATCAACAATAGCTGAATCATGACAAAATAACTGTAGAGAGGCTTGTTGCGGTTTGATAACACAAGGAGTTTCAAGTCTCCACAAATTTGCCATTCGTTGAGTTTATAAGACTTTCAGTTAAAAGTAAAGTAGAACGTAGCTACCCCTCTAATTTTTCTAAATGCTTTTTGTGTTTTGTCACTAACTGCAGGCGCGGATCTCGGATAAATAATGACCGATTTCCTAAACTAGAGCCGAAGGTGTAAGCTTCTGGGGGGGGGATGGAGGGTCCGGGCTATGCGCCACGTATCGTGAAATTTTTCGGATTTTAACTCCCAAAAGTCCCCTTTGCTGGGTTTCTAAGTCATTCAGACAGGATATTTGTCAGTTCCATTCTCCTTGGGTGATCGTTGCAAATCGGCGGATTATTTCATCAAGGTAAACTTCCATGTTGTATGTTGGATATGGAGCAAGATTGCAGCTCGGAGAGTTTTTTATTATTAAAAATATATTTATTATCAAAAATCTGGCCGATTTTAGTAAAACGGTGGAAATCGGTGTGGATCTGCGCCTGAACTGATCACCGTAAAATTGCCCCTAAATTACATTTAATGACGACGGACACAAGCCAAAAAGGGGCGGGAATTTCCAAGCTTTGCATAAACGTTTGTTTATTGTAGACATTGAACAAAGTCTTAATCGCTCAATTAATATCGGTTATTATAGATTTCACAGCAAGTGAATCAAGAAAAAAAATACAGAGCGGCTTATTTGCATTTTATAACAGGATCCTGAGGTCTCCAGAAAATTGCTTTTCGTTAAGTTAAACGCGAACTTCTTTTAAACTGACCCTTCTAATTGGTCTTAATGCAATTTGCTGTCCTACAGCCATCTAAGCAATGATTGTCAGGTCATTCATTGACGCATATATGGTATATTGTTCTTAAGATAAGGCGCAAACGTTACCAGATGTTTATAAGATATCCTTACCTTTCCTTCCGATCGAGGACCTCAATCGACGAGAACTTAAAGCTTTCAGCTAGAATTTATGTTCAACGATTAAAACATTGTAACTTGGATTTGGATTCAATTTGGATGAAGAATCGCCGTGAACAGACTCGTTGATCGCATTTACTTTTAGTCGCACCTCCTGCCTGTAACCAGAAATAGCAGAAACTGTTTTTAAATTTCCAGTTGAGTTGCTGATAAAAAGTCAGTGTCAGATACCTTCGTTTAGAAACAAAAACTATCCCTCCAGTATTCGATCAGCTCCAAGCTGAAGTTGTGAATGGAAACTTGGTCCACGATTCTTGGTTGGACACTATCCATTGTGGCGGCGGCTGGAAATAGCTCTATTATTTTTCTTGTTTGCGGCAAACGACGGCTCCTCACTAAAATCAACGCTTTCATCATTTCTCTCGCAGTAGCGGATCTCGGTGTAGGGGCCAGCGTTTTCCCTTCACAGTTTTTCTACGAAATCGTTCAAACTAGCCACAACTCGTCTTCAAGATGTTGGAATATCGATCGAATACGATGGCTGTTCGGCTACGCATCTGTGACAAGCTTGTGCAGTTTAGTTCTGGATCGCTACGTGGCGATTGTTACGCCTTTAAAGTATCTAAATTTTATGAGCCGAGGTCGTGTTATCCAAATGATTTTTGTTTCCTGGGCAATCCCTGTGGGATTTGTCATAACTTCATTTTTCTTACTCAAGCGGAATTTTGTTATCATATTTGCCATGTTTTGGGAGATTTTTTCATGCTGCTTTCTAATATTCTGCTTTTCCTCTATCATACTTGTCGTATATAAACATGATAGATCGTCAGCCACCTTAGCAAAACAGTTACGGTTCAACCACAGAGGTTTGACAGTCAGCAGTCAGGACAGATCAGCAGTAACAATGATGGCGATTGTAATAGTCGTGTTTCTCGTCTGCTATGCAATATATTTGCGCTGCAGTCTAGTATCACTTCTTCATTATCCCCGTTGTGATGATAAAGTCTATAAAATACCTATGTTAGTCCTGAATTCTGCCATCAACCCTTGGGCATATGCATTCTTCAAGAGGGACATAAAGAGGGAGATGGTGAAGAAATTGATTTGCCGAAAAACCAAGGAGAAACTGCAAAATCAATAACCATTAAAAATGCAAGATTTGAGTTTACAGTTTTTTAAGTTTAGAAATCAAAAAGTGTTAAATCCTCATGAGCCCGTAGGCACAGTTTCGACAGTTTTTTCCAATAATAATAATAACGCGCAAATTTTCATATCATGGTATATGATAAAATGCGCGTAAAGGAGAAGATGAACTCTAGAGTTAATGCCTCCCAGCCAATAGTAGATTCAATGACTCGAAAATTCGTCCTATTGTTACAACTTATTTTATAGATACCTTCCTTTATCGTGATTATAACAGTTTGATCCCATACTGCCAGGCAACTCAGACAGTGTTTTATAAGCATATAAATTGTCAATCGAACAATAGACATTTTCCGTAATAATTATTATCAGCTGTTTTTGAAAACTAAAGATATCTAAGGTCTTGACTTCAAGTTAAGCACAAACTCAAGAAACCTTTGTTTGCTCTATAAATTAAAAGCACACCACAATAAACGTTTGCGACAACTGATAACCCTAAGAAAACAGGCCATTAGCGACGCCAACAATGGTTTCCTCTTTTCACAGACCCTCCATTTTCTCTTCTCTTTCAAGCGTGCGAGACAAAAAACCGCGAGGGATTTATTGACCGCCAGCACAAGGGGGTAGGATTGGAGGAAGAAGAAAATGGACGGTCTGCAGACATCTTTAGGAGCAACTGAAACTTTCTCTTCGCAGTAACAGCAAATTACCATTGGCTGAACGGCGATTATTCTGTCATCATCATGTCAACGACTCATTACGCTCACGTCATGCGAGTAGAAGCGTTTGTCATCGCCTGGAGGCGCTAACTTACTATTGTAATTTGCATAAAAAACATCAATTGAAAGCGCCGCCGGATGCAGTCATACTGAGTTTGTATTGACCATGCTGACCATATCTTTTGTATAAGATTATAGACTATGGAAAGCGTGCTTGACGACTGTTTGGCACAGTTTTCAAGCAAATACGTGCTCAAAGAAGAGCGGCGCCAGGCTGTTTTGGGTTTACTGGGGCAAGAGGATGTTGTGGCCGTTCTTACCACGGGTTTTGGGAAAATTTTAATTTACCAGTTGTTCGCGGCAGTGAAACTCAAACAAAGAGAAAAGAGCGTAGTATAAGTCGCATCGCCATTGCGGGTATTATCAATGATCAAGTTGAAGCAATGGTTTTAATCATAAAAGAAAATCGAGCCCAGGTGCGTCTAACCTTATTACTGTAATCGTCCGCCAACTTTCGTTTTGTTAATAACACCTTGACGAACGCTCTCAATAAACAGATGCTCCGTAGCTTTACGGGAAAGCGTTAATATCCTACAATAATCCGATGGTTCGATTTGTTTCGGCTTCTGACCTCTTTTAGCCGGCTTTTTCGGCGTTGAAGCAGTGTGACAAGACATTCTTAAACAAACACGCGAGTCCGGGTGTCATTTTTAAAATGTTCTAAAATACTTAGTAATTGATATCTCCAATATCATTGGTTCAATCTAATTGGTACTGCGAACGCGTAGGGGATAATTATGAGGCGTTGATTTGGGGGAGGAACTTTAAAATAAACCTCTTTTTTCCCAAAGATGTTTACTGACGTTCTCGAAGACAACGAAAAAAAACAACGTCTGTGTACAGGTTACGCGAATATATAGCCTGCGTAGCAGGCGCTTGGAAGAAGTGGTCGTAAGAAAGAACGGGCGCTCGAGAGGGAGACACGATCGTTGCGCCCACTACTTCCATGCGCCTGCTACGCAGTCCACCCGAAATAAGGTCTGAGGAACGAGCGTAGAAATTCCATGCTGATGACGCGTCACAACCCACATCTGGATAGTGCTCCTGATTGGTTGAAGCAAAATTTCCCTTGCGACACGACTAATCAGAAATACTATCTGGGTAGTGACAAGTCATCAGTATTAACAGTATGGAATTTCTGCAGCCGTTCTTCAGAAGTCACTTTACGTGGAAAACCAGTGGTGGCCAGAGTGATGGCTAGTTATCGCGAACGTTCAAAATAGCGCGTGACTTTGCTAAGTATTGTCCTTCTCAGTTTACGGCTCAGTCACATGCAGACTGAATATTAGGCGAGACCTTTGAAAGACGGTCTGCTTCTCTGGCTAGGTTCTCGACTCATCGGTACAACGTATACAGTGCACAGATCACGCTAACTTTTTACGTCATCCGGGTTACTTCCAAAATTGTCCGTTGTCTTTCTTAACTGGCTAAATTAAGAGAAAAAGTCTGAGATATTTGTCTGGATACTTGGAAAATGTCCATTATAAGTCGAGTTTGGTTAAGCTCTCATTGGGAAGACGCCGGTATGTATATGATGCATTGATCAGGTAAACGTTTTATGACATTTCTTGGGGGTTACATAAAATTGTCCGTTCTAAAAAATAGTAAATGAAAATAGCCTGTGCTAGTATAGCGAGCTATTATTATCAGAAGCCTATATGTAAACGATGCCAGTGTCCGTTACAAGTGCATTCCAAAATTCTTGTAAAACAACCAATGCATGCAAGCGGCCTCAAAACAAGTTCCTCTGATGAAAGTCTTTGATATTTCAAAGGAGGCTGTTGGTTACGGTCCGACCGGATGGATTTTCGTTTGGCACTGCTGAGATCGCTTGGGGTGAAGCTTTTAAACTATTTACTGAATTGTAATTACCAGTTGTCCACACTGCATGTATAGTGTCGAGTCATTTATTTTTTCTCCTACACCGGCCCCTCGTGTTTGTGTAATCAATGTTTTCTGATTCCCCTTTGTGTGTTGCAAATTAATTATCTAACTTCACTCTCACCAAATACGTTCAATTCTGGATGTGATCTAACTCTCTACAAACTGACACTTATGTGAAAAAAATATGTTCATAATGCTTTATTGTTAGCTTTGAATAATAGGTTGCAACTAGTTGTTTTACAACACGAATCTCAAACCTCGGACTTACGAATATTTTGAGAAATTATTGAAAAGAAATCCACGAGCCCTTAGATCTTTTTTTTTGTTTTCAAAACATGATTAATAAATCATTTGATAATTATTCGACAGACATTTTTTTAAGGGATGAGTAGGTACAATTAACTAACTATGAAGCAAAGCCGGTCCTCAGGTCCAAATCTAAACTCAAAACCTCCCCGTAGTGTGTGTTGAAAATAGATCGTAACTGAGCTCGTCAAGAAAAGAAAAACTTTAACATATTTTGCGCTGTTCAACTAAAGCTTTCCTACTTCATTAATATCAAAATATACTCGGGAAAAACTTGCACAGAGAAATAAATTAAATCGTCTTACAAAAAAATTTCCAATAAAATCATTTCTCCTTATATCCAGGCTTATATGTCTTCCTTTTAAAAGAAGAATATCTTTGAAATAGATAGTGAAGAAATGGTCAGTATAGAGAAATAGCCGACTCACTTGTTGTCAAAGTGTGATTATTGAGTGATATATTAAATTATATATGCATAAGTCAGTACACCACTAAGTAAAATCAGAGTAGGTGCTTTCACTGAGGAAGGGTATTGATCGTAGCCAAGATAAAGAGTAATCATGCAGTAATCATAGAATGGAAACCTGGTTTTGGGTTCTTGGCTGGGTTCTTTCCGTTCTGACGATAACTGGAAATGCCTTCATTATCTCACTTGTTGGCCGCAATCGACCTCTCCGCACCAAAACCAACGCGTTCATAGCTTCGCTTGCTGTGGCAGACTTTCTTGTTGGTGTGGGCGTCGTTCCTTCTCTCTTCTTCTGCGAGATCTCAGGAGGCGGGTGTAAATGGTCTCGAGCCTGGTCGTCCTGGCTTCCTGATTTGATACGATGGCTTTTTGGATACGCGTCGGCATTCAATTTGTGCAGCTTGGTGACAGATCGCTATATAGCTATTGTAAAGCCTTTAAAATACGTAACGTGCGTAACTCCACGTCGCGTGATTCAAATGATATTCCTTTCTTGGGCGATCCCCTTTGGATTTGTGACGACTACATTTTTCCTCGTTTTGTTTAGGATTGAATACGCGGGTTTTATAAATGCTTCAACGATGTTCTTTGAGGTCGCGTCATGTTGAATCGTTATTTTCTGCTACTGCTCAATCGTACTTGCTGTATATAAACACGATCGATCAGCAGCTGCTTTAGCGAAACAGTTACGTTTCAATCACAAAGGACTGACATTCAATAAGCACGACAAATCCGCATTTGCAATGACGACAATTGTTGTGGTTTTGTTTCTTATTTGCTACGGAATTCACTGTCGCTGTGGCTTTGTATCACTCTTTCTTAGCCTTCCATGTAATGACTTTAAATATAAATTACCTATATTGATCTTAAACTCCGCCATAAACCCTTGGGCGTACGCTTTCTTCAAGAGAGACATAAAAAAGGAGACAAGAAAGCTGATCTACAGAGCGGCTTCAAAAAATGACAACAAAGTAGATCCTATCAGTAAAGCAAATCACGTTACAGTGGGTACATGTAGCTCCATTTTGTAAACAGTCCATTCAGAAGAAAATGTTAAGCATGCAATTGAGGATACTAGTGTCTTTTACTACTTAATTATAAATTCTACCTTAGAAAAGAGGAAAAGTTTAAATCCTAAGGGAAAAACTAATTTTCAATGTTGTTCAGATTTTAACGATATAAAATGGGAGAATGCCTACTTTAAGCTCTTAGCAGAGTTTCAGGATTAAAAGGCTGCGACAATTAGCGTTTTAATGAAAACTATATTTCTCTCGATAAAAACCTACTAAATATGCAAGAGTTTCAGCTGTACCAATTTTATTTAAAACATTGAGCAGCTTTTCTACATTGACGAGTGCTCAATTTGCCGTAAGGTTGTGAGTAGTAAACTATGTTGGATATTAAGCCCCTTTTGGACTTCCCTTGGACTTCCCAAATACTAATTTGGATTTCCTGCATACTAATTTAGTGCCTTCCTCCATATATAATGAAGTGGATTGTTGTTTCTTGAAGGAACAACATAGTCTTGCCTCGACTTGCCCGTGAAGTAACTTGAGCCCGGTTTACGGAACTTCTATTAAAAGGAAAATAGGAATAAGAGGAGCGATCACCTAGCAATGCGAGAAACGGCTTCCTATTTCTCATTTAGCGCTAAAACTCGGATATATATAAACAGAACAAACACACATATACACAAAGTGGAGCTAAAAAGTCTCTATTTCACTTTTGTCTGACTGTTACAGAACCGCGTTTTCTCCTATCTATCTCGAGGAAATGAAAAACTATTGAAGTCTCAGCGTTTCACGCACCGTTAGTCAGTTAATTATGCGAGTTCTCAAGCTCAAAGTTGAATTCAAATTACCTCTACAGGAAAGACCCAAGGGAGCATCTTGACGTATTATCATATAAACAATTTTAAATAACTTAACAAGGATTAATTAAAACACGCGACTAATAATTGCTAGCAATAATAAAGCCACAAGAGAGATACCGTTTTAAAACTTTATTAAAAACAAAGACAAAAAGAGTCAAATACAGAGTGATTTGTAAGAAATGGAAATTAATTAATCCTCATCTTCTTCGCCCATGGAGTACTTGACGTAAGGTTTGAATTTCTTATGCCGACGTTTCCTCAGCTGTTTGGCATGAGCTTTATGATCATCCAAATAATTTACAAATTGAATCCGACGCCTTTTGCGCTTCGGGCCTTGTTGTGATAGGTTTTCTATTGTGGGAGGAGGGATGAGGAAAGCAGGATTTAAGGGTGGTGGAGGGGTGAGGCTTTCTTTGTCAGGTTTTTGAGAGATAGCCGCTTCTGTTAATTTCGGTGTTTCATTAAAGGAGTTGAGGGGAGTGAAGAATGCTGTCGTTGCTGTCGAAGAATCATGTGTCCTTGATGTTAAGTCTGGAACAGTGCTGATTATTTCTTCCGGTCGTGTTCTTGTATCTAATTGTTCTTTAAAAGCCAGGTATCTGTTTTGCAACTGAAAGTATCGCTTAGCTTTTTCATCGTCCCGAAGATCGTTTCGAGAAAGCACGTCATACATGTTGCCTGGTATTTCTTGCATTGCCGGAAGAAGCATACAGGCGAAAGAGTTTGCTGCTTCAGATATTTTAGAAGCTCTTGAGGAATATTCTCTTGAAACCCTGCTTGGTTAAAGCCTTCTTCACTGGGTAGGACGTTTGTTCGCAACCGACAATTGTCTTGGGTAGTAGTTTTCAGATCAGTCAAAAGATAACCAAAAGGTCTTTTTACAGCCTCTTCGTAATGATTTAAAAAGAAATCCGTCTGCCCGGGATACATTTGCTTCGCCAGAGTCAAGATTTGCAATTTGTTTCGTGGATTCTTGAATAACACCAGATAATGGCTGTTTAGGCTTATGCTGCGGCTACCTTTCCCCAGATGAAATATATTCTGCACGATATAAATCACGCTCAGATTGCGATAATGAGAACCACGAGTAAAGAGGTTCACAATTCGCTTGTCTTTACTGGCGTCAGTCATCTGATCATCAAACACGATCAAGTTCCGTTTGTTCACATCAAAATAGGAATCCTGCTCCAAAGCCGTAGGAATTCGATAGATAGATAGATAGATAGATAGATAGATAGATAGATAGATAGATAGATAGATAGATAGATAGATAGATAGATAGATAGATAGATAGATAGATTGATTGATTGATTCACTTTTATTTGAATACGGTAATTTCATAAGTTACATAACTTCTTTACATGAAAGCCGTATAGAAACAGAAGTAAATACTGTACAACTACACTAAAAATATGTACAAATAACAAAATATAGTAAAATGTAGTCAACAGTTTGCCTGTCTACTAGCCAGTTTTCTTTTACAGATAGCTTTAGATTCGGACGCTTTTATGTCATTTGGTAAAGAATTCCACAGCGTTCCTCCTCTGTGTGAGAAAGACCCCTTATAATATTCTGTTTTTGGAACGTGGTCCAGTACAACATTATATTCCGCATTTCTTAGCATAGACTTATAAGGGTTGTTCTCACAGACATTCGAGAAAAGATCGCTTAAGTAATTAGGTATATTTCCATGCACTGTATCATACATTAATAGACTTAAGTGCCTCTGACGCCTTGATAGATAGATAGATAGATAGATAGATAGATAGATAGATAGATAGATAGATAGATAGATAGATAGATAGATAGATAGATAGATAGATAGATAGATAGATAGATAGATAGATAGATAGATAGATAGATAGATAGATAGATAGATAGATAGATAGATAGATAGATAGATAGATAGATAGATAGATAGATAGATAGATAGATAGATAGATAGATAGATAGATAGATAGATAGATAGATAGATAGATAGATAGATAGATAGATAGATAGATAGATAGATAGATAGATAGATAGATAGATAGATAGATAGATAGATAGATAGATAGATAGATAGATAGATAGATAGATAGATAGATAGATAGATAGATAGATAGATAGATAGATAGATAGATAGATAGATAGATAGATAGATAGATAGATAGATAGATAGATAGATAGATAGATAGATAGATAGATAGATAGATAGATAGATAGATAGATAGATAGATAGATAGATAGATAGATAGATAGATAGATAGATAGATAGATAGATAGATAGATAGATAGATAGATAGATAGATAGATAGATAGATAGATAGATAGATAGATAGATAGATAGATAGATAGATAGATAGATAGATAGATAGATAGATAGATAGATAGATAGATAGATAGATAGATAGATAGATAGATAGATAGATAGATAGATAGATAGATAGAACACGTTCTAAAGTTAACTAAGATATTCTAAAACGAAAAGAATTCAGCTGAAAATTAAGACTTCTTTTAAATTTGTGCCGAAAATGAAAATCTCGTCTGAAATTTAATCACTTAAGTGTCATTTCTGACGGGTAAACTCTACCTTCGGCTGAAATAACCTTCGAGGACTCTTTTTTTAACTTAACCCTGGAAATTCCTCAGTAGTTTTAAAAAAATGCTAAAATAAAGAATTCTCAAGACTCTTATGTCTTTAGAAATCGATTCCTTTACAAATGATGTTTTAGAAATTTCCGAAGCAAATTTTATTAGAGCAGTGTCTCGAAATTCCGTTGTATAAACGCGGGTAGCCCAGATATGTTTTTTTCGGAAATTTCCGAAACACTGTAAGTCTCAAAAAAACTGAAGAGATACGGCTCACCAAATGTGTTTCGGAAACTTCCAAAACACTTTTTATTAATGGTTTCATGCAGAACTTATTTATAGAGGGTCACAAAATGTTGCTTCAGAAATTTCCGAAACAGTTTCTATATTGTCCCAGATTTCTTCTGAAGACGGTCACAAAATGTGCCCCAGAAATTTCTGAAACACTTTTTATAAAGGTTTTTCCAGATTTCTCTCAAAGACGGTCAAAAAATACTGCTTCGGAAATTTCCGAAACAACTTTTATAAATAAAGGTTGTTCCAGATTTCTCCTAAAGACGGTCACAAAGTGTTGCTTCAGAAATTTCCGAAGCAGTTAATACACCGATTGTTTAAGTGCCAGCGTTTATGCATAATGAACAGAACGAACATCGACCATATTCTTCGATGAGAGGAACTCCTAGCTGATTAAGTCAGTTATTACAATGTAGCATGCAGTACATCTGCTAACAAATCATGAATGTAGGTGATATTTGTTGTCATTAGAGATAAGCAGTTGACATCAAGGTCACATCAAGATCTCCGTTTCCTTCTGGGTTTTCCTATTTCTTTTTTACCCGGCGAATAGTTTTGGAGGCTCCTTGCTTTCTTCCTCTGCAACGATGCACTATTACACTGACGAATTTCAGCACAAGGCACAGTAGATCCTATTAACATAAGGAAAATGACAGAAATTTTCACTTTTTTTGTGTATGATCAGCTGATTAAAGGAAGACGGAAAAAACATTGCCTTGGTAGAAAATGTTGTATGACCTGAAATGAGGCATCAATCAAGTCGAAATAATCTGTGACCACCCTTGTTTTCAAGTAGAATTAACCAACATATAGACTGAGAGTTATTTTAAAAAAGTGGCTATATGGCCAGAAACCGGTCAAGGTTCTCAA